ATAATTAACGTTTCATGAGCTTGAGAAAAGGCCTGGCAAGATGTCCAGAAGAAAAGAATGAATGAGTAATTGACTTTGCGCAGGCTTGAGAAAAGGCCGGGCAAGATGACCAGAAGAAAAGAAAGGATGAGTAATTGACTTTGCGCAGGCTTGAGAAAAGGTCTGGCAATTGACGTTGCATGAGCTTGAAAAGAGGCCTGGCAAGGTGTCCAGCTGAGGAAAAGATGTGTGAACGACTCCGCATGGGCTTGAGAAGAGACCTGGCAAGATGTCCAGGAGAGAAATGAATGAGTATTTGACCTAGCATGGGCTTGAGAGAAGGCCTGGCAGGATGTTCAGAAAAGAAAAGATATGAGAAATTGGCTTTGCGTAGACCTAAGGAAAAGATTGGCAAGACGCCCAGAAAAGAGATACGGGTATAATGGACCTTGCATGAGTATGAGAGAGGCCTGGCAAGAGATCAGAAGAAATATGTGAATAAAAGGACTGAGTAACGCGCATTCTAAAGCCTGGATACAAGAAAGGACGAATGAGGATGACACACATAAGCTGGGCAAAATGATATGGGAAAAATACATGGGAACTGGCTAAGCATGAGACTGAGGAAAGAATGACGAGAGAACATGGATTGCACGGGCCGAAAATTAGATTATTTTTTATGACTCTAAGAGTAATGAATGAGGCAAAACCAAAATGGTTTCTGCTCGAGAATGTTTTCTCAATGAAATGGGAAGATAGATTTGAGATTACGAAGCACTTAAGGGAAGTTGTGCCTGGGCTCACTGATTCGAAGTGGGTATAACCACAGCAAAGGCGGCAGTTGTACTGGACGAAAATCTCCCTTCCGGAGCAAATGCCTGACATTGAGTCGCATCCAAAAACTTGCCTACAATTTGTTATCAACAAAGCCAAGGCATAAAATGAGAAAACCAATTGTGTTATGACAACAAATTGTCACCCTGGGAATAAAGCAAGCATACCAGTAGTTAAGTGCATGAAGCGAGGAGAGCCTCGTCTGCTTCATATTACTGAAGGCGAAAGAATTATGGGCTGCCTTGCTGAGTATACAGAGTTTTCATCTCGATTGGGGGAAAGATAAAGAGGCAGAGCTATGACGGAAATGAGCAACCTGGTCTAAGCTGAAGAACCTTAGACTCCCCTATACCCTCCTCCACCCCAAGGGGCGGAAGCTAAAAGAAAACATTGAGACAGGAATAGAGGAAAGAACGGAACGGACCCTGGCAAACTAACCACCCATAACATCTCATCCTCCTCTCCCGTCTATCCCTCCAAAGTCCACTAACAAGAGATTGGTGCGCGATGAGGACATCGCAAATGAGTGGGGGGAATGTGTCGGGACTGGTGGATCCCGCATAACTTCCCATCACTCGAGAGATTGAATACGGATAATTTGTGCACAAAAGAGAAATCTGGGGTGAGGAAGCAGGAGAGAGAAAAGACAAAGGATTAGGCCGCAGAAGGGAGTGATGCCCTGAGGAGAGAACCACAGGAGGAAAGAACTAGCGAAGGCAAGCGAGCGAGCGCAAGAACAGGGGCACATAGGACATAGCAGAGGCCAGGAGGGTCAGCAGAATGTAATAAGACGAAGGCCAAAGGGCTCTTTGAACTAGCAATTGCAGCGCGACAACAATGAGGGAATGAGGAAGTCGAGGGATGGGCGGCCAGAAGCCGCGGGAAACCAGGAAATGAGGAACCAACGTGGGGGCCACCTACGGGAGCCTCGGAGCGGAGGCCCACGACCAAAAAGATCGGCACTCTCAAGGCGCAAGGAAAGACTAAGGAGAGGGGTCGCTATGGGGCGACAAGACGCCCAAGGGGCATGGGACACCTCGGGGAAAGGCACCCGGGGCCACATGGGACTAAGTAAAAATAATGGCGTCCGGGGTGAAATGTGTCGGGGATCACCGACGGGACTAAGTGTCGGGGACCGCCGGCGGGACTAAGTGTCAGGGACCGCCGGCGGGACTAAGTGTCGGGGACCGCTGACGGGACTAAGTGTCGGGGACCACCGACGGGATGGTCGGGGACCACCGATGGGACTGAATGTCAGGGACCACCGACGGGACAAATGGCGGGGACATGTGAAAGTCCCAAGAAGAAACGGCGGCACCGCATGAGGGAAAAATAATAAATGGAAGGTGCACCGTCAAGATCGACATCTTGACGGCCAAGAATATTAGCACCACAAGTGCAAGTACTAGTGGTGACAAACGGGAAGGCCAAAAGGA